TCCAGCTGGGTAGACTATGCAGATGATTCAAGGTAACCTGTGTGGCTTTGTCAGCCAGCTGCCCACAAGAAATTTTTTGAATTTTATTCCTGAGTGATGCAGTCTAGAGTCTGGCAACATGTGCTTGTCATCATAATTTTCATCCTTTGCTTTCAGTGAGTGAATAAACCACGCTTATGTTTAACAAGGTGCAGTTTTCCCATACAGTCATTACACAAATCTCTTCCAAAAAATTATCTCTGCATTCAGTGTTGTCCTGCATCAAAGACATCAATTTCTGCCTTAGAAAGGAAAGAAAAATATTCCATTTGGTTGCATACTGTCATTAAAATAATACCTACTTTCATAGCCACAGAAAGCAGCTAAGTGTCGCTATCTGAATCCTTTGTGTCTGGTTACAGTGATGTTAAAACTTGTGGGATTTTCATTTTCTTTGTCCTGGTTGGTTTTCCTAACAGTTTTTCTTAGTTTGCGAGTCAAAAGTGCAACCCTCCAGATCTCCCCCTGCACCCTGAGCACAGGCCATGGCTTCTCCTGGCCTTTTAAATGTAGCACAGCTGGATCTGTGGTGCTTGGATCGTGAGGATCACCGGTGCTGTGAGAGAAGCAGGAGCATCTGCGTGTTACCCAGCAAATACTTGCCTTCTGAAAGGCCATCATTTCTTTCTACTTGTGACCACAGCCTGCAAATCCTTCACTTGAGGAAATCTAGCCTTAGGAGGCCTTGAGCTGAGCACTGGCTTTTCCAGAAACCCAAATTTGAATGTGATTTTGGATATTAGAGCTGACCTGGTAGCTGTGTTTTGCTCTGAACTCTGGTTGAATACCAGTGGAAACAAGGAGACTCGGGACTGTAGTTGTACCAATGTGGTTGCAGGGAATATTTTTATAGAGGTGTGAGTTCTGCTGTTAAATGTTTACTGGTTGGGATGATATCATCATGCTGTAAAAAAAGGTGAACCTGTGGATTGGAGCCCATCTTTTTTCCATGCCCCCACACATATACAGCATGATAGGGGTTTGGAGACAGAATGCATTTGCTTTCAGTAGGGTGCCTTTGACTAGCAGAACTGGAGGTGATTCAGCACAGCTGGATAGAAGGCAGTTCCCCTAACTAAATAAAGAGTGGTGGCTGTGGGCTGGCCTTAGGTGGTGCAGCAGATCAGGCAAAGGAGGGATCTATATAGGGGCTGCTGTTGCTGGAATGTAGGAAAGCATGGATGACACAGAGCCATGGGGTCTGCTGGGAGAGGTCTGTGTTGCAGATGCTGAGAGCCAAGGATCCAGCAGTAAGTGAACAAATAAAAGTAAGTGATGATTACTGCTGCCTGCTGAAGATATTAGGCACGTTGCCAACACCAGGCCTAATGGCTGCCAGGGATTCCTTCCCAAGAGTGCTCTGACAGGGAGGAGATTCCAGGTGGTCAGCAGGCACTTGCAGCCCTGATCTTTCTGGTTTTTGGGGCCCTGGACATGCACTGACCTTTGTATTGCAGCCCCAGCGATGCACACCCGCACACAGGACTCAGAATAACTCTCCTGGCTGTCCTCCGTGGTGTTTTGGGAGAGCATGCTGCTATGATCCTGTGCTTACTTTATTGGGGTTTTGTTGGCTTTCTATTAGCAAGGCTATTATCATGCAAATGAGGTCATAGTTCCATAGTCTACCTGCTCCTTCTGCTCCTGCCTCATCTGCAGACCTAATCCGCTCTTCCTAATAGTCCCGTTGGTTGCTATAGCAATGATAAAGTGGTATGAAAAAGCCAGGATGATACTTAAATGTATGTCTGGTATTACATTTTTCTTTCTTTCTCCTGGGAAAGAGAAACCAAATAATGAGAGGTTTGCTGGGTTTTTTTGGAGTTTTTTTTGTTTTGGGGTTTTTTTGGTGTATTACTGTTTTATCAAAAGCTTTCACTGTGAGCTTTTTGGAGCCTGGATGCAATCCTCTCTCAGCACCCTTTTAGGCTGGGAATTTTGCAACTCAAGAGCAGGTAGTAAGAAACAAGAGCCCAAATTTATGAATACAGGGTACATGGAATTTTGTATTTAAGATGCCAAAGTTACATTTATTGTGTCATGCACAGAGTAAGTTTGCCACTTCATCACAATAGGAACCTAAGCTGCAGAGTGCTTAGGGCCCAGTTTGGTCTCTGAATGTATTGAAAGATATCAGAACATGTTGGCTGAGGGTTTGTTTTGGATTTGCACAAGTAGACTTACTCAGCACTGCCACTGAAAGTGGCATTTTGAATAGTAAATTAAAAAATCTTAATGAAATCAAGGGAGACGAAAGCAGAAGATGGAGTATTTTTGCTCGGTTGCTGCATACAGGAATGGGTCGCTGTAGTACCAAGCCCTATCTTTTACACATCTGAGAGCAAAAATTACACACTTATTCTGTATTTTCAACTTTTTTTTGCCAAGTTTTTAGTCAAGCATGGATATGTATTAAAAGTTTTCTGAAAGAGCCATATTTGTGTGAATTCAGCTCATTCCAGAGCCCGCCGTGTTGGCAAATGGCAAATGTAAGCAAGCCAAACCTACATTTAAGTGCTTACACAGGTTGATCCCCTCTTTCTTGTCACAGTCTGAGAGCATCGCTTGTGCAAAACAGCTTCTCCTGCCCAGCCCTGGTGGGATCAGCTTGTTCCTGCTTGCTGGGGTTCACTAGACAAGATCAGTGTGGATATATTGGTGAGATGCTCTTTCTAGCAACTGGCATTTAAAGACACCTCGAGCTAAAGTGCTCAAAAGCCCACCATGGGTATATTATTCATATCAATTCTCATAGGGACTGAGTTTGGAGATTGGGTTAAATCTCAGATGGGAGGATTATATCACTTCTGAGTTTATAGCTGGCATTAACTCTGGACTTTCTCATTACTTGTATAAAAGTGAGCCCCTTTTTGAATCTTTTATGGCCTGGCTTGATTAAAAGTGGGATGAAAGCAGAAACAATTTTAATGGCCTTAGTGCTCACTGGTATAAAACTAGCGCAAGAAGAGAAATTGTTCCTACAGTCTCTCATCCCAGATGAATGTGAGATTGAGAGAAAACACATTAGCAGAAAGAAAGAATTGACTCATTTACCTATTAGTTACATTCAAGGTTACTTAGTTAAGCGTTCATATAATGTTTTCTTACAGGAGACAGCTTTGTTTCCTTATTTTCAAACACAGCAGCTCATCTTGCTTTCCATCAGCATAGACAAAAATATCAGGTGAGAGAAAACAAGTTGTTTTTTTCCAGCTGCATGTGTCGAGGAGCCTCCCTGGCATGCAGCCCCCATACAACACTGCCTTCTACTTTGTCCTGTGCTCAAAAGACTGATTCAGTGACCTGCTAATGCCATACGCCTGGGGCTGGGGAGTGCTGGGGGCTGAAGGGGGAGAGGCAAGAAACTGTCTGCTCCCTCCTCTACCTGCAGAGACATGGGGAAATGTCATCCCAGGCCTGCATACAAGCACGGTAGCCTCCACCTAGCCTGAGGTTTGACCAGTTTTTGCCTTTCTGTAAACAATAAGTACGTGTGAGCTTTCAAAGAACTCCCTGATAACGGGATTTGTACTAGCCAGAGGTCCTCAGGGCTTGTATATCCTTAGCAACTCCATGCAAAGAGATTGTACCCAGTGCCCTACATGCCCCACAAAGACAGCCTTCACCTTGGCACAGAGCCACCTTCACACCTGAAAGAGGCAAATGGGGTCTCCATGCCTCAGACACTGGTAAAAGCATTCCTGAAAGAGTTACTGGTTTTGAGGATTGGCTTTTCAGTTACTGCTTTGGGTTGAGGATATCAGATGTTGGTGGCAGCCAGGTGATCTGAGCCCTCTGACAGTACTGTGCTAACCAGCTCTAGTTGCCCCACCGATGACTTACTTTCCTGGTGGAAAAGTTTTGTCTTTACAGTTTAGTCCTGGAGATTAAAAACCATGGACATCCTTCCTGCTCTAGAACTTAGTAGGAATGGCCCTGAAGGGCACATTTTTTTTATTCTGTCATATCTCTGGAGATAAGATGAGGTTCAGAGCAATGGCTTAAGGCTTTTTCATCCTGTAGGTCAGCTGAAAGGTAGGAGGAGACTTTGCTTGCTGGATTGATGCCTGCAATGGGAATGGCAGCCACCTGCCAAGCCATGATGATCCCAAAAAGCACAGGTCCAGAGGCTGCGTCTCCAAGGGAATAAACCAAAGATCAAAGGACAACTGTTGGCTGAGTGCTTGGAAACAGCAGCAAAGAGGTGCTGGAGTGGTGAAACAAGGTGTTTGTGGGGCACACAGAAGTCCTTGAGACATGCACTTCATGGCCACTCTTGTTCCTGATAGAATTGCCTGGCAGAGCTGTAGTGCTCTCACCTTCCAGGATGGATTCAGGTGGTTGTGATGCTCTTGATGGTGATGCCAGAGAAGTAGATGAAGTGAAACTTGGCCCTCTTAGACATGAGAAACAGCTGCTGTCTGAGAAATGCTGAGAGCCTTTGGAGAGGCTGCATTCTCCATCCTTTCTCTTCAATTCTGCTTTTTTTGATTTAGATGCGTTGTGAAGGTCTGGCAAAAGAGATCCTAGCATATAGTGGGAGTTGAATGTGCTGTTGTCTGTTAGTCATTATATATATATTTTTTTATTCATTTGGCACTTTCCGGAGAGTTTTTCCCCCCACATTGTGTAGGCTGCCATCTTCCTTTCTTTCTTTGTAGCAAGCATGTGGGCGCAGCCTTGCTTACACTCCGAGCAACTGGGGAACCACCATAAATGTAGCTTATCCGCTTTCTGATACATTTTCTTTTGCGTTGGTTTGGATTTGTGCATCGTCAGTAACATCTGTTCTGCTTTAGTGGCATACAGTTTTCCGAGTCTAATTAGCTGGCTGCTTGTAATCAGGACTATTTCAACTGTTGTCATTCTGAATGTTCTTTTTCCCTTTTTTTTAATACCACATTTGCCTGATTGACCTTTTTTGTTGTTTTTTTCTCTGTCTTTCTATCGGGCTGCTCCAGGAGCCATGGCTAATCATCTTATAACCAATGCTCTGCTTCGTCCTCATGGCACTAACAACCCTTATAATACATTGCTCGGGGAATCGGCGGTCTATAACAACCCTTCTGTCAGCATGTACAACGCACAAGGTGTGCTGGAGTTTCTCTCTAATTTTTCTAGTGAGAATTCCATTTTCTGTGGCTTATTTTGGCCCATTTCTTTCTTTTTTTTCTTCCTTTTACTTTTTCTCTCCCCACGCACACACACTTTTTTTTTTGGAACTGGGCACAAAAAAAAGATCCTTTCCCCTCCCTTTCATTTCAATGCATCTTTCCATCTTCCAGATGCTATTTTTCCATGAGCAATCCAATTCACTTTGAAAGACTTTTGTCAGTTTTTCTCAAAGCATTTACAGTATTTTGATTTTGATTTTTTTTTTTTCAGTCTCCTTGCTTTTGTATTGTTTTGGACTTGTGTGTGTGTGTATGTTTTGTCAGACACATCCATTCCTCTCTTTGTTGTCAGCGCATTTCCTTGTTAAACCATTCATTTCAGAAACAGGAGCACCGCTGAAGGTAAGTGAAGCTAAATTGGCCTTTGCCACCAAAGCTGCTCTCATTTGAAATGGCCTGCAGAAATGTGGCCAGCAGTGCACTGGTTTGCACAGGGAGTAAAATGCAAAATGAAACAAAACTGCCCTTGATCTCTAAGAAAAATGACAGTTGAAGCAAGAAGTGTAGGCCAGCTCCAAAGAGCAGAGCTGAGATAAGAAATGTTTTGCCGTTTGCATTTATACATTTTATCTGTGTTGTTAGGGGAAAAAAATAATCGAAAGAAGGTGTAGTGAATCTAGATAACATTTGATATCCTCCTTTTGGCAACAGAAAAGAGACAGGCAGAATCAGTGGTACCTGATGGAGCTTTCTGCTATGGAAATCACTCTCTTGTCACTTACATGTTTGTCTCTGCTCTGGCCTCTGTGGGAAGGGACAGTGTTTGTAAGCTGATGTCCTGGTGCTTCTGTGAGGGAGAGGCAGATGTGTTTAAGTAGGGCCTGAGGAGGTGGGGAGTGTGAGCTCTGACAGCTCCTGTCTCTTGGTGACTCCATCCTGCTCTGCCCTTTCCATGGGATTATTTTTTTGGTCTTCCTTGTAAGGTGGCTGAATCACTGCAGAGTAGCTCTGCATTCCAGTGCAAGTGTGCCAGCACTCTGTCAGCTCTCTGCTCTCAATGAAGGCATCACTTCCCAGTAAAGGATATCCGAGAGAGGGAAAATAATGATTGTTATAATGCAAGCAGGAAAGCCCCCTTTGTACTCTATGGCAGCATGTTGTTTATGGCAGAAATAGATGTTGAACTGTATCAGTAGGGTATTTGCATTCAAAGCACAAGGAAAGCACATGCTTTCCTTTTTGCACGTTTATCCTTTTTGTTGTTTATTAATTTCTAAAACTATGCTAACTTTGTGCAATAAATTTGTTTCCAAGAATGCTTTTTTTTGAAAAGGGGCTACTGTTAAACATGAAATGCTCTGAGTTTTAAGATTTTCAGTGTACTGCAAATGTGGAAATGAGCTTTGATGTTCTGACTAGTTTCTTGCATGATAACCTTGAGGTATGGGAGTCTTTTAAATCAAATGGCAACAGGTAATGCTGAGTCAGCATTCACCTTAAGAGGAATCCTGATGTTCAGGTCTGGGTGCTTCTGCCCAGGCAATATGGGCATATATGTGTGTTACATTTATTTTAATAATTTTATGGTCTTCAAATTTTTAATACTAAAATCTGATACAGTTACCTGAGCTAACAGAATGTTATTCCACAAAAACAGCACAATTTTTTTGCAAGTGCTATGCTGTTCAGCAGTTAGATAAGTAACAGAGAAACCTGTCCAGGCTTCATCCATGGGAAGTGAAGAAAGAGAATGGGACCACCCTGGTCCCATTTAAGTTCCTGGAGCTTTGCCATTGACTTCAGAGGGAGCAGAAACTAACCCATTGTTTTCAGGAGGCTGTGAGTTAATTAATGACCACATAACTGCTATAGCTATTAGTTTTCAAACTGGTTAGGTCCCTGGACAATTACAAACTGTGAATATTAGGAGATCCTGTGGCAGAAATGAAGGGTAGCAAAACCAACCAGGCCTAGTGGTCTCGGTGGCCCTCTGGGGATGCTGCACCAGCAGGAATGCTAAAGCCAGGAGAGTGCATTGTAAAAGTAGATGCTGTCATCATCTCTGGGTGTGCCTTGGCTGTAGCTGGCGTGCAGTGAGCATTGCAAACTAACACCATCCAACTCATTCCACATCACTAAGGCCGTGACTTTCTTTTGCATGTTCATTTACCACTTCTGGTGCTGGCCATGGATGGGGCAGGACACCCGAAGGAACAAGGGACTGATCTGCTCCACCTGTTTCTTTTCCCCTCCCCAGATATGTCTTTTAAAATACTGTCTCTGCTTAAGCCAAAGCTGCCACATTAGTGGCAGGCAATCACCAGGGGCAGGAAGTTCTAAAACTTACCCTTGAAAAGGGGTGGGGAATCAGACCCTAAAAGGCCAAATTCCAGTGACATACGCAATTCCTTGATAGGACACAGAGTGTAGAGGGAGGAGGAGGTGGAAGGTGAGGGGCCGAGTGCTCATTGTCATTGGAAACTGAGGGACATACACTGGCTCAGTCTCTCCAAAGCAGGAAAACATCCCAACACCTTTGGTCAGAATTAATTCTGAGAGAAGGTGTCCACAAGCATTAATGACCATTAGCAAGCTCTACTTAAAATCCAACAGACAGCTGAGGAGTGGGAAGCTGAGCGTTATCACTGCCTCTTCATCTTATTCTCTGACTTTTCTTGTTTTAAGCCTTTCTTAATAGTTTCCTCTAGCAATGTCATTATTCAAATTACTATTCCTCTTTTTTTTTTTCTGTTTGTTTCTTTTTTTGCCAAGTCCATGTAGTTTGCCATATGTTTGGTTAAAGTAAAAATCAGACTTACCAAAGTTTGTAAAATGCCAGCAGCCCCATGATGAGCAAAGTCATACTCTTACAAAGCACTGTTGCAAAAGATGGACGGCAAAACATTTTTAGCAAGGAAACAGAATTCAGTTTCAGCTACCAGGGGTTATTATACCTAACAGTAAGTAAAGCCATTCATTTTAAGACTTTGGAAGTGACATTGACAATGCCTGTCTTTTCAAGCATGACCGTTACCAACTTTAGACTTTTCCTAAATTTCCTGGCATTATTTCTTCATTTGTGTTGCACGCTGAACATTTTATAATGGCATTGGAAAACAGTTTAAATGTGATAATTTTTTAAAATAAAAATGTAGACTATTGACTATTGCGCGTAAAATATTTTTTTCTGTCTAAAATGTCAATATTTTTAACCTGAAATAAACCTTGTAACAAATTCATGTATTCTGGGCAGTGGAAATTATTTCCGTTAACTCTCTTTTCTGCATATCATCAATTTGCTTTTTACTCATGTTCTCCTACTGTCGCTGTAAGCTTACTTGTTGTTTTTTCTTTCCTTTTCTTCATGCTGTCGTTTAGAGCCCTACAGAGAGACAAGTATGGGAGTAAAGCTAAACATTGCATATCAAATGTAATTTTTTTTAGTTCACTTTTATTGCATCACATATAGATGATGTAGTTAATAAAGGAAATTAACCTCACAGTTTTGAAATCAAAAGACTATGAATAGACATGTATATATATGTGTATGCGTGTGAATGTATGTATGTATATATATATATGTATGTTTACATATATATATATATAGATGAGATTAGGTGATGCTTCCTTTGTTTATTTCTCATTTTTGTGGTATCGTTTACCCACATGGTTTATTGTTTACTTGTGTATGCTCTTTTTTTTTTCCCAACTTCGTGTTTTTATTTGCGAGGTCATGACATTTTTATATGGTGTGTTTCATTGCAGCCCCCACTCTGTTCTCACTTGCAATGCCTCCCATTTTATTTCTGCACCAAACCCCAGATCTATGCATTGGCAGCAGGAGCACAGTGCTCAGTGCCTCAATGCATACCTTACTCAGTGTAACCATCAAACAGATGCTGTTGTACCTGTCACCCATTACATACAGCCCTCCCCCAAAAGTGCTCACTTTTCATTTCTCCCCAAGCATCGTGACTCGGTTGGAGATCTTTCACCGTGAAAATCAACGGCTTTGCTCTATGTCTGTGATGGCTAGTTGATTTTTTGGCATAGCTCCCTCATTTGCTGGGAAACCCAGGATACAGCAGCACCCTCTAAGCTTCAGAAACCCAAAAGGTGACCGACACATTTGGGGCATTTCATTCAAAAGCAAGAAGAAGCCTTCAGTAGCGCTTTCCAGCCCTTGACATACAGCAACTACTCCATCGCAGATATAGACTGAATCCTGTATTTTCAGAAGGTACACATGCCATGTACTAAGCATGGTATGAGCAACTGTTCATCTGAAATTGTCAGTTTAATGGCTTCTCTGATCCACTGTGCCTTGCTGGGAGTTGCTTGCCAGTTTTTGGCAATGCCTGAAGCCCTTAGCTGAGAGGTCAATAAGTTATCTCATACGTCCCCATGCCTGCTCTCCTTCCAAGGAGACCAGCGATCCTAAAAAAGGAAGCATGGTGGCTTAACTGCTGGGCCTGATTTTCTTCTCATTTGCCCCCACCCATGCTGGCATTGCTCTCAAAGCACTTCCCTGCCATCTCCCGTAGTGCTTTGGGAAAGAGCTGAGCTCCAGCCTCATGTTGTCAGCATTGAAACACCTGTAGAGATGCAATAGGCAGAGCGGGGACACCCCAAGACCCTGCTACTCCTCTCAGGTTCCCATGAGCCCACCTTTACCATGGCAGTGATGGTACTTGCTGTACCCTCTGCTGAACCCACTGCTTTAACTTTGCAGGTGGAGTAGGAGCAATTTTTAAAGGCTTCACAAGACCCCAGAACAGTTGCCTCCAACATGAATTGTTTTAGAAAATCCCCACCTGGCCAGTGTGGAGTAAATAATTTTGGTTGTGCCCTTAAGCCGGAAGAGGTAGAGCATTTAGCCTTGTTCCAGAAAATCCTGGGCCAGGAAGCACTTTGTGCCTCCCCCTTGCTACTCCCTGAATCCTGCCATTCAGTCCTTATGTCTTTATCCTGACAGC